TTTTTTTTATTTTTTTAGGAAAAAAAAACCCAAATAGGTATAGGCTCTCCTCTGAATAGACAGAAAATATAAAGTTGTTCAGTGATTGATTTATTCGCTATGGAAGATTGTAGGTTGGAAAGATACTGTTGCAAAAATAAGAAGGCAATGCCATTACAGAAGTTGATAAAGACCCCACCAAATCCCAGACTTTGATTCATGCTAAAGCTCAATCAGTTTTAGACTCACTCTGATGTGTGCTGGATGCCCAACCACCTTGACTACTTCAGAGAATATTAAAAGATGTTGTTGTGTGCATGGGTTTTTTCTTTATGCCCTTCTCAGGATAACTCTGAAAAGAAGGGATGGTGGCCTTGTAAGTTGTATCTTAGTGCTTTTTGGAAAAATAATAAAAAATAAACTGTTTGCCTTGATGTTGAAGGACTTTCCAGTTGTTTGTATTGTCCTCATGTGGCTCCAGAATGAAATACCAGTCTGTGTCAAGTAGAGATTGTTTGTGGTAGAAGTTTGTTGAGGCTTCATTTTTATCATGAGCCTGCTCCTTAAAGTGTAGCTTGCAAAATTATTTCCAAACACTTTAATATATCAGATCTACAGCTCAAGACTAGTATGTGGCCTTGCAAAGTGTTTTTAGTGAGACTGAATGGGTTAGAGGAGGCCTCTGCTCCAGGCCACAGAGCAGTTATAGCAGATTATTTCTTTTTTTTTTTTACGTCTGTTGGTGCTCTTAACACAGTTAAATGCAGGAATTTCATTTATTTCTTTTCTCAAAGTGCTATGTTCTGTACTTTCTGTTCTGGTGAGACTTTTATTCCTTGCCCTTTTTTTTTTTTTTTTTTTTTTTTCATTTACAGTGCATACCTTTAGAAAGCTTACTAAGAATGCCATTTTAAGATGTACAAGGTAACATGGAAAAAAAATACATATCTGAAAATGGCAGATAGGGATGCAGAAATGTTTGTGGCTGATTATGCTTTCCTCAATAAGGATTTGAATGCTTTAAATACTTTTTAAAAAATATTTCTAGACAGTGATTTGACTGTCTAGAATGAGGTGCCTAGAACTCTGACTGACGGGTGGTTTTTTTAATTGGAAATTGACTGACTTCACCTACTGTGATGCTTCCTAAAAACTTCATTGTGATGGGACAGGCTCAAATTTGTTTAGTGCATAATACAAGTACATTGTCCTCAAATAATATAAAAAAATACTAAAAAACCCTTGTATACTTGATATGTAGTGTTTTTAGAGGGATTAAGAAGCAAAATCAGGGTTGAAAGTCACGGCACAGTGCAGATTAAAATTTTAATTTACTGCTAATGAATTTGATTCTAGGATTGCATAAAGTAGAGCTTACTAACTTCACATCTCAAAGGAGTATTTTTGCAGTGATTTCTAAAAGACATTCTAAACACAATTTATAAGACTTTTAATTTAGGGTTTAGACATGAAAAAGCCTAAGCTCTCCTGTCAGATTGTTGCCAGGTTTCCTCATGCATATAGTGGAATCAAAAATTATTTCTTTACTTTTGAACAGAACCCCACCAACTCAGTACAATGCCACTCCCTCCCTTGACACTCCACCCCACCCGACCAGTTAGATTTTAGTTTGTGTCCTGCTGTTATTTTCAGAGAAGTAGCACAGGTTTTGGCTCTAAAAAAAGTTGCTTTTCCTTTCTTTGCTTGGGAAACTCTACGGGGAAACTGATTCATATTCCATTTTTCCTAGGTATAGCATGTCTGCACTACTTGAAAGGTAACCCTAGACAGGAGAAAGCTGAGATTTTGTTTTAATAATGGGGGTTTTGATTATTTTTCCAGTGGTATTATAAGGGGTGAGTTACATGAGGATATCTTGATGTGTGTAGGAATAACACTGCATAGTGAGCAGTGGTTTCTAGTTCATACGACTGAAAAATTTAAGTCCTTGTAGCACTTAAAATCCTTCGTAACTGCTTTCAGTTATAACTCAATCTATAGGKGTTTTATTACTTACTTAGAATAATCTTTTTATTGGAACTCCACAAATAATTGGTGATATACTGGATCCTTTAGTTACTGAGCTTTTTACTCTTACTTATATTACCTTCATCTTTAATAATGGGGTCTGAATTGAAGACTAGTTTGTAATTTTGTTGTATCACTCTTTTCTCCTTCATGAGATGACAGATGGGAAGGCAGTATCTGACTGATTTGTTTTGGTATCCTTATTTGTAACCATCAGACCTAAGGGATTAAGTGCATCCCTTGCTGTTGTGTAACTATTGAAGTTTCACCTGGATATATTTCTTGGGAAACTGTACGAAAAAGCAGTGAAGAGAGAATTCACTGGTCAGAGAATAGAAAACTGTGCTGCAAAGGGGCCTGCCTGGTGAAATGAAGTAAACAGGGTAGTAAATAGAGCACAAGGAATTATCTGAGTTATTGTGGGGCATTTTACTGTTTTTTTTTTTTTTAAAAAAAAAGCTCCAAACCCCAGAAAATGAAAAACCTCTGTTTTTTTCTGCAGACCAAACAATAAATCACATTCTGTCGTCCTAAAAAAAGTTGCTTCTACTGCAGCAGCACAGTTGGAGCATTATGCTGTTGCAACAGATGTTAAATAAAGAAGTCTAGAATGTATCTTGTCCTTACAGAATATTTTATGAGACAGCGTGCTGGGATTTTCTGCAGTGCTGATGATCCTGTAGAAAGGAAGCCTGTACGTGCTGAAACACAGGTGTACACAGCCTGAGAAACAAACAGGATAACAAGAGCTGTCTCTGGTCACAAAGCTACAATATCATGGGAATGACTGAGATGTGGTAGGACAGCCCATGAAATTTGAAGTCTGTAACAGACAGAKCCAAGCTCTAAGGAAAGGCAGGGAAGAAAGACAAGGAGTAGTGATACCCATGATGAGAAGGTGTGGCCTGTGGGTTAGGGTCAAAGGAAAGCCCATAAAACATGACACTGGTAGGGGAGCGTACTGCAGGTCACCAATCAGGGTGACAAAAGTACATGGTGATGAAACAAGTTGTTCTTTCAACAGCTGAAGAACTCTGGATTACTGACTGATTCTCATGACACTGTAGTTTCCCTAACTTTCATCTGCTGAAAGGGACGTATAGGAGCACATAAGCAATTTAGTACATTTCTGCAAAGTGTGAAGAATAACTGATATGGGTGTGTGCTGGAACGGCCATCCAAGGCTCGTGCCCAGCTGAATTTTTTACTTACAAATGAGGGAAAAACGTAATATTGTGGGCAGATTTGATTGTAGTAAGATCAGTGGCAGGCTCTGGACATGGGGAGAGTGAATTTTGTCTTGCCTGAGGAGCTGGTAGGTGAGTTACGTAGAAGCTTTTGAAGGATAAAGGAGTTCAGAAAAGCTGTCGTGATTTAAGGGTCAGATAAGTGTCCTTGGCCACAATCCACACTGGGAGCTGACAACTTGGAGCAATTTTGTAGAAATGCAGGGGACATTGGAACACAGCAACT